TATATATATATATATAGATGTGTTTAAAGCAAAGTGCACCGTATTCTTGGAACCTGCCACATGATTAGTCATCTGATCACATAAGAAAAGCATGTGTTCAGGACCACTGACAAACCCGTTCACAATACGGACACAGATTTGTACTTTGAAAAACAGAAAAAAAGACCAAAAAAAAAAGTGACAGAGAGACTGTGTAGGAAACTAGCATTTGTACAGTTATTAGCGGGTGTCTGCTTGTAAGCTCCATGAAGCTTGTTGGTATTGGAAAGCCAGAGTGGTCAATAAATACGGCACCATCTTTCAAAGGAACAACCAGTGTCTCAGCACCAAACAGGGGCTTGTGGGAAATGCGGTTTAATAATGTTGTTTAATAATGTGTTTGTGCCTGTGACTGTTTGGCTGGGCAAAATAAAAGAAAGTTTCACTGTGTGAAAACAGCACACATTTGCAGTGTTTATATGCATTTATGCTGACTTTCTTGACCTATAAATGTTCTTGCGAGAAAACATCTTGGTGTTGAATGATATAAAAGTGCATGTGTGCGCAGCAGGGGATATAAAAGAGAGTTTTGATGTGCCTCCATATGAAGTAGTTGAGTTGAAGTGCACTGGACTCTTGGCTGGTTTGAGTAATGTAGACCGTTGGATGTTCTGGTGGCATGTCTGTTCTCATTTCGTGAGCCGCGCTGACACCTCCATCTTCATACACTCCTGCCGGTCACACGGGGACAATCGAGTCCTCTGCCCCCTTTCTGTCTCATCCAATCACAGCAGACGCCCACCGAGCTGTCAGCGGGTTTTCACTTGCACTGCTTTTATATGAGACCCTGTGCGAACACAGATGCACACACGCTGCCAGAGATTTCATTACTCTTGGAACGGACGATGGGACCCAGATCTTCTCATTGAGCCACGCGAAGAGCTCTGAATGTGCGTACGAAGGTGACCGGTTCATACAAGAGCTCAGAATCACCATGCAGAACAAAACGTACTTGCACAGATTTCATTGCAGTCTGAAAAAACTAACAAGCACAATCGCCTACATACACAGAAGCACACAGACTACGAGCACATAAACGTATGAATATTTAAAGGAATAATTTAATTCAAGCTGTCAACATTTACTCAGTCATGTTGTCCCAAACTTCTTCGACTTTCTTTGTTCTGTGAAACCCAAAATGAGAAATTTTGAAGAGTGTTTACGCTGCTCTTTCCCACAAACAAAAAGACAGACTGTCAAGCTTCAAAATGCACAAAAACACTATAAAAAACATTATAAAAGCACCATTAAAGTGGTCTATATGACACATGCACTGTATTTCAAGACTTGTGAAATAAGGGCAGACTGAATTTAAGTATTAATTCATTGAAAAGCTGATAAACTTCCACTTTTAGCACAAAGACGTAAATGACACCAAATGCCATTACGGTTTCATTTTTGGGTTTTAGGAGATATATATATATATATATATATATATATATATATATTTTCAGTATATTTTATTTTAAGAAATAAAAATAGTTTTCTGTTTTTAATTTTAGTTTATTATTAAAAGTGGTAATAATAATAATAATATCATCATCAACAACAAATGGTCAAAAATTGTTGACTGTCCATGTTCCATGGACCAAAAAAATAAATGAATAAATAAAATAAATAAATACAAATCATCATACTGATCTGGAATGACAAGATAGTGAGCAAATAATGACAATTAGATTTTTGAAGGGAAGTTTAATAAAACTATCCTAACTAAAAACTAAGATTGGGCACTTTAAAAGTGCAGCATCTGTAAAGGCACGTGCACACCATACTGACACAACTCAATGCGACACATATCAGCTTACAAACATGCCACTAAATCCAAGCTCCGCTGAGGAGCAACGTCAAACCACACAAGATCATCACTCTTAAGCTTTAGATAAGGAAAGATCTCATGCAAGCAAATCTCAGAACACTCAGAGACTCCGCCAGCATATCCTCTCTTTCTCACATACACACAAAACTAAACTTGAGATAAGCCTCGAGCTCATGCAAGCAAAGCTCCACTCACACATTTATTAGTAACACACATACACACACACATAGGCTGGCACTGCTAAGGGAGGCTTTTCACACCGAGATGCACTTACAAGATTGAAGGGATGGCCTGACATGAGCTCAGAGCGCTTTCAGAAAGAAAGAAAGAAAAACACAGAGGAGTTGGAGAAGAAAACAGAATCGGGTGATAAACAAAGTAATGACGAAATATTTTTTTTTTAGCAAAAAGTGAGAAATATTTGATCTGGTTAAATATCAGGAGACAACGAAGACAACAAAGAGGCAGGATGAGGAAAGAAGACGAGAAAAGACAGAATTAGAGGAGTGTGAAAACAGATGGTGAAGAGAAGTCACAGACATGGTTGGGAGTATCAAGCGGTGTCAGAACATCACTTAAGGTGGTTTGAAGTAGCATGAGCTACAAAAAGAAGAGACTTGAGATGATTGGGAATAGGGATGCACGATATATCGAAATAAAACTGATATTGTTTATGGCTGAAGCGCGACACTGTTCATTTACAGTACATGCATGCAGCTCATGATGTTTTTCAGCATCTCAAAGCAGCTGAGTTCATTTACTGTGAATCAAGCCACTCTGAAAAACACTGTATCATGAGCGGAAAACGTGTAAATGAACACAGTGCCACGCTTCACTCTAAAACAAGCAGTGTGAACACTTATTTGTTGACAATGTGCAAAAAAAAAATTTTTACATTTAGAAATTAAGACGTTAACATTGTACTTTTACAGTGTACTATAAAATCGAATTATTTTTATTTAATTTTATTAAATATTTTAACAGTACAATACGATTTTATATTTTGATTCCATAATAATGACATTAAATAAAAGTTTGAGTTGATTCTTGTGAAGAGTAAAAAGTGATTTTTCAGCTTTTATCACAACTATACATATCCATTATATATATATATATATATATATATACACACACACACACACA